ATTTCCTACTTTATCTTAACYTATACCMCACAGAATTGATATTTTCTATATTTTTGATTTATGAATAACGCTTAACTTCATCAGGGTTTGAAYCACTGAACTCTTGCTTCATAGTCCACAGTACTACCARTTATACCATCAAGGATTTTGTTGGTAGTAATGTTTGCAAATTGTTTTTATCTTAAATATTGTAATTTATTAAATATGAAGAAAATTTTTATATAATGCTGGCTCAACCCTATTCCCAACCCTAAACCTAAACCAAAAACTAACCCTAAACCTAAACCTAAAACTAACCCTAAACCTAACCCTAAAACTAACCCTAAACCTAACCCTAAAACTAACCCCAAACCTAACCCTAAAACTAACCCTAAACCTAAACCAAAAACTAACCCAAAACCTAACCCTAAAACTAACCCTAAACCTAACCCTAAACTGATTTGTACTAGATTGAGTTATATTGGACTGGCTCAAAATAAACTGAACCAGTTCAGAAGAAATTGAACTGGTTCAAAATCATATTGAACCTGAACTACAACATATACATTCTAATAAAAAATTATCTTCCAGGGCTATCGTCATGACCACTATYCAATGGGGATGTGCTTTAGATTTTCACATCRAAAATAAGCTGACTTCAAATATCCATTCACAATCCACTTTCATCCATTGATTTTAAGGTCAAATTGTTTAGCTTCATTCATATGGCATAAAGGCAAATAAGTAAATGTTTGCTTCTTAATCTTAATATATAACAATGCATTCTTCTTTTCAAACATCTCAAAAGAGATGCCATGYCCCTATTTGCTTTAAAATCTTATTGACTGCTCCACAAAGGTGTGTACCATTTGCAATTACATTTTATAATGAGTTCAAGAGTTTAGTTTTTCACTGATAACAAAAGAAATGCTGATCAATTTTCTTATTGGCTGATTGGAGTGGATATCAAAAGAATAGATGTTATGATTGTGCAATTGCATGCATCRTGGCATAGACAGCACATGGTTTGGCAATAGATCACAACTTGAGTACATCAGCAAGATCATATTTTTTGCATAGTCTCATACAAAATGAGCAACAACATGGGTGCAAGATGTTCACAACATGCTACCACCATGTCAATTCTCATTTACACTCCGTCCACTGAAGCTTGGCACGCATGCTATAACACATCCACTAGGACATTGAACTTTATACCATGCCAACATCACCATGTCTATGTGTCCATAAGTTAAAAGAAAGGGATTATTTTTACATTTTTTCAGACCACAAATTGAAAAGCTCGCCACATATCACATCTAGGACATTGAACTGCACACTATGCTATCATCATCATGTCTATGCATGCCATAAATTCAAAGAAATAATTATAATTCTTACATTTTTTTTCAGTCCACAAATTTTCTAACTAAAAAGCTGCCTGGACTTCACAAACTTTTTAACAAAAGCACAGGTATCCCAAGCTAAGTGTGTGTGTGTGTTTCTTTTTTTTTTTCACTTTTTCAAATTTATTATACAAATTTCAATAAAAATAAACATCTCTATCTGTGTGTTGTTTTTTTGCTTTGTGTTGTTTTTTGTTTTGTGTTGTTTTTGCTGTTTTGTGTTGTTTTTTGTTTTTATGTGAAGTTTCAGGCCATTTGCTTCAATATTGAGTTATTTACAGCTGTTGTTCAACAGGGTCCTAAGAAGAGGATGCTGGAGAACAACAGAAATCACTCAATGGAATCAACCAACTTATGGAATCAGTCTACTACTGTAGCTTGGGATACCTGTAACTAAAGTAGCTTAAAATGTCCACAGATTTTAGTTGTATTTTATTTTTAAAAAGACGTTTAAAAACTTCTAGTAGGACAGCACGTAAAAGGTAGTCACTTCTGTGTTATGGTAGTAAAATAACGACAAAGCCATTATTTGCATACGTTTCTTTTCAAATTTCCAATATAGAAATTTAGATAAATATTAAGCAAATTACAGGCTAGAGTAAATGTAAAAATATAGTTTGCAACCTAAATAATTAGGCAAATTAGTACAAAACCTTTTTTTCTATGTTTAATTTATTACAAAATGTTTTACAGTTAGATGTGGTCAGTGCAGTGATGCCAACCCCTGGACTTTTCAAATCTTAAGAAATGGTATGTACATGAATGAAAATGATATAATACCAGAAATGATGTTTCATAATATTATCGAATATCACATTTATAAAATTTCGTTAAAAACACAAGTATGGAGAGATACGACGTTGAGTGATATCTTCAGTGTCCAAGCATTCACGTCACAACAAAGSTACCAGCAGAATTTCACGCAAAGAAACACAAAAAAGATCACGAAATCAACAAATGTATATTGTCATAATTGATTTGATAAGATTTATCTTAGCTATATCTTATCATAGATTGTATTCTTCAATTGCAAATAGCCACAAAATTGGACAATGTTATTGTTACCAGAAGACCAGGATTTTTGTGGGTTTTTTTTATGACTAAAATGATAGATGAAAAAACAAATAGATGAAAAGAGATTTTTTCTCATCCAGGAGATTTAGTGGTAAAWTTTTGAGACTGGGAGAAACAGTCGAAAACCTTGAGACTTTTGGATTATCTGGGAGAGTTGGCATCTCCCTGCAATATTCTATAGCTTAACTTATATTTTTATGCAACTGAAACTGAAACTGAAACAATTTTGCAAAATGTATTTTACAGTACTATGGAAATGTCTTTATAACAAGTACTGTGGATATCCAAATATTTGATCTAAAGACCATTTTATGGCAGATATGCTTCTAATGAAAGATTGCAATATGATGATCATGATGAAGAGTTATAGTATAGCTATCTTGTTCTACTAACTTATAGATACACTGTACATGGAAATGACACACAGTTAATAAGTTCACTTCATTTGCAAGCAAGAAAGGGAATTTAAGCTTAATGATTTAGAAGAAACAAACCTATTAAGCTTAACCAAGCTTAACTAAGTTTTAAGKCTTAACTCAACTGTCAAATGGTATCTCGCGAAATTGAACAAGGAAGTTAAATTATAAAGTACACTGTTACATATCCAGTAGATAGAAATGAATGGCATTGTCTGAAGAAAGTTAAATATCAAGTGCATACTTACATAATCGATCCTATACCACAGGCAAGTCGAAGAGAAAAGAGAATAGCTGTGCACAAATAAAGTCATGTGATGGAACTGGCGACAGAGCAACCCTTGGCCTTCTGAGAAAAGCCGCTGCAGCCTTATAAATTTGGAGGCCTCTCGACTGGCTTTTTTGAACTACCGATGCAAAATTATAGTTAAACGTTTCTATCGTCATTAGAAATGATTGCAATARTAAAATAGAAAATAGAAATGGCCGCTCTTCACAAATCGATATGTTTGGGCTTCCTGTGCTTCACTAAAAGTTTGGTACCCAGACCCTAYTCTTCCTATCGGCGAAAGGGTGGCCGACAGGCAAATTTAAAACAAAAAAAAAATCTATATATCAGGTAAGGGAGGTAAGGTGAATCTAGATCGATTCAAGCATATTGTAGGTCTATCACATTGATCTTATAAGTTATAGTTTAAATTGGCGCTACAATTTCAATAAATCATGCAAAAAATATTTTTGTGATTTAATCGTTTCTTAATTTCCAAAAGAGTAGACTAAACTGTTAAATCTAGACTATCGAGAGAAAAAATAAAGAAAAAGAAAGTTATCGTCTTCGGGAAATGGTCGTATGTCATTCGAGATTTATTCGGGAATTACTCGGATTTGACATTCCCGTATGTTAATGCCGGCCTTGCCGACGTGGCGACAAGCGATTGAGAGGACTGTGTCTGAATCAAGGGCCATCATTTTTCCTTGTTGTTGGTTGTACCTTTTACTTTTTACCTTATTTCTATCGGTTACCTTACAAAATGAACATCTTTAGATTAACTGGTGACTTATCGCATTTAGCAGCTATCTTGGCCTTGATATGGAAAATCTGGAAGAGTCGTTCTGTAGCTGGTAAGTAGAACCAACGATCTATCTACCATAAACATCAGCAACAATAGACGTTGTTGTCTCTCTTCTTTCGACAGAAATTCTCCAACTTGTATAGRACATCAGTACGATGTTTTCTACCTAAACTAGTGTTTAATGATTCGTGTTATTTTGGAAATAAGAGATTTTAGCTGTTTTTTATAGCTTAAGTTAATTTATATGATTTGTACACGTGTAACTTCATGTTGGAAAATAAAGAGTTGTTGTTTCCCTAAAATATCTTTAAGACTTATGAGATAGCTGATACTCATGAAGATAACTTAATTTGAGAAATTGTTTGCAATAAGCAAAAATTGATCGCAATAGAAAAATGTATGATTAGYGAATGTTCACAGTGTGTCTGTCGAGACACCTAGTTTTTCCACGTAGTGTTTTTGTGATTTTTGAAAGCCCCACTCATAACATGCGAATTGTTCATTCAATAAAGCGAATTTTTTAACGTATAAACACACCTTCTACAATTATGCACGAATGATAGAATTCAAGTAAATGTCAACTTCACTTTAATTAAGATTTCAAGAAAAAGATTTTCTGTTTTAGGATACCTGTGGGATGATACTGATATTTTGTTTACTTTGTCAACAGTGATCGATTAAAGCTGAATAAACTATTTTATTAATAAAACTCAATTTTGAATTGGCTAAAATCATCAAATGATTTTTGCTGGTAAAAAAGATTTTTTACCTATACATTGTAAACTCACTATTATTGAGTATTRTTTCTCATATATTTTCAGGTCTCTCTGGCAAAAGTCAAATTTTATTTGGCTTGGTTTTTGCAACTCGATACCTTGATCTRTTTACTAGCTTCATTTCTGTGTACAACTCAGTGATGAAATGTATCTATCTCMTATGTTCGTGGGGTACCGTGTACCTGATGTACTTGAAATTCAAGGCAACATATGACTCCAATCATGACACCTTCCGTGTGGAGTTTCTTCTTATCCCAGTAGCAGGATTGGCCTGTTTGGTTAATCATGAATTCTCTGTTATGGAGGTAAGAATCATATCAATTATGAATTTACTGGAAACCTCCCTAGAATGTTAACCTAATTATAAAGATCATATTCATTATGGAGAAAGATTTCATAAAGTCTCACAGTATATAAATAATTTTCAACATATAGTCATAGTTTATCAAACAATCAATGTGTTTAAACAGCAATTAGTCAGGTAAGCCATGGGCTAAACTTTAGTTTTACCTTTTTGGTAATTTATGTATCTACATGTTTTATTTCTTAATTTGARAATGACACAGGAATTCCAAGAGTAAATAGTGCATGCATTGTGGTGCAGTCATGTCACATTTGCATGATCCTCTACCTTATGCAACAAATTTTTCACTACATAATTTATGCAAGTTCAGCATTGGGGTTCCTGTGTTGTATTAAAAATACTGTATAACAGACATCAAAATATATTGAATATGAGAAAAAAACAGTCTTGACATTTTTTTGTTTTGTGTTTGCATGTATGTTTAGGATGAAAAATTGAATTTTAAACTTGTAACAGTGTATTTTTTAATAAATGACCTGAAAATCAAGGTTGAAAAGACACAAAAACATCCTGCGAAAGAAATCCCCCTCTAAAAAGTGTAGTGGCCCCTCCTTTATGACTGATCAGATATATATTTTTTGGGTGGAGGATCATAATTAATTGTTTTACATCCTAATGTATTCATAGCCATTCCTTCTCTTTCAAGGGAGGGCATCTACTTGTATTTTTCCTATGGGGTTCAATGGAAATTTAATGCCTCCAAAAAATAAATAATGATAACTCCCTAAAATAACTATTTATGGAGGAGTTTTTGCCGGTTGTAAATACCAAACTTCAAAAAACTAAAAATCTGCTCTTAGACCACAACTTACTGTATGCCCTGATTTTGAACTTGCATTAATGTTCACATTTGGCATATAGGAAAGCATACATGTAGGAACCCCAAAAATATATGTGAAACAAGCTCAAATGTACAAAGAATAAGCAAGGTTTCATGTCCTCAATGKTCATATTAAAATACATTATTTGATATTATTTGTGAGTCTAAGTAATCCTTTCATCTAGCCTGTCAAGGTTTATAAATTACCAGATAGCTGACAGGAATATAATGGWTGTTTGCCACTTTTGATTTTTTTACAATTGTTATTAGTCCCATTAAGATACAAAGTAGCTTATTACATAAACATTACAGTATAAATTTGTTAAAACTAGATGTTACACTCAATTGGTAAAAATATGGACATTTTCTTGGATCTATTCATCAATCTGAAAAGGAATAATAAATTATCATATTGACATTCTGGTATCTCCATGGGGATTAATCTTCAATTCAAGCTAGATTGATCAGGGCAAAAAATGAGCAGGCAGACACAATGTATGGCAAACCATCATTTGCTTTTAAGAAAACAAACATCTAAAACAAGATCTTTCTGACGTGGTTTGATTATTGACCAGCTCCTATAACACATCAATTCTTCAAATATAGAATGCTGGCAATCTGTATGTAAGGCTTTTAAATTTTGAGAAAAATCAGTAGATTTTTGCACACATGGAAAGGCAAACAATTTTATAACATCACCGTTTGAATATTGGCTGGTGTTGGCCATCACAACATCAGATTAAAGTCACCTTCAAATTTACAAATGTATCATCAAAAGGGTTATTGATTAACTATTACATGTGTGAAAATCAGAACTATACTTGAATATTTTTGAGTTCAAAAAGAGATAAATTTCACTCGCCGTTAGTTGTGAGTAACCTTTAAGGTGGTGGGAACTAGAGGTAAACTAGTGTGTAACCAAAGGCCCATAGTGTACTGGCATCTCTTTTGTTTGTGTTTCAAAATAAAAATATATCATAATATCAGCAAAAATTTACTCCTTATTATCCCTTTWTGATTCAGACTTAAAATCCATGGATGGAAACGAATTGTGAAGTCATCTCATTTTCCATTTTTATGAAAAATCTAAAACATAAGTGCATTGAATGCTGGTTCAACATGGTCTTTAAAATCTGTGTTTCATTTTGAGATATAGCAAGTTCAAAGGGCTAACAATTTTGTAAAAGAAATGCCACTTGTGTCTTTGTCTTCTGATATCAACATGGTGTGATATGGAGAGAACTACATGTATAGAAACAGTTGTTGTGCTTGTAGCCCTAAGTTTTCTTTTTTTGTGCATGTCTCTACTAACGTTGTTATGTACATTTGAATAAAAAGAGGAGATAAATATACGTACTTATCCGTTTTCAATCGTTCAATGTGATTTCATCACCTTTACATTCACTATTTTTTCTCTGTCAGGTTCTTTGGACTTTCTCCATCTATCTAGAGTCAGTTGCTATCCTTCCTCAGTTGTTCATGATTTCAAAGACTGGTGAAGCAGAGACCATTACCAGCCACTATCTCTTTCTTCTTGGCATGTACCGTGCACTTTACATTGTCAACTGGGTTTACCGTTACTACTTTGAAGGATTCTATGACTTTATTGCGATTGTTGCTGGTTGTGTACAAACTGCCCTCTACTGTGATTTCTTCTACTTATACATTACAAAAGGTAAACTATTAAAAAATTAATCTACAGTCTTAAAGCCGAATTAGACAGCACAACTTATGCCTACAACAATCACATACAACCTGCATCCTCACAACATGGCTTAAACTACTGTGGGGCTATTAAGTAAATGTTATAAATCTCCACAATAGCTGTAGCRATGTTGTAGGTATGACGCACAAAGATTGCGTGTGATGGTTGTAGGCAAAAATTGTGTGTAGGCAAAAGTTGTGCCATCTAATTCGCACTTTAGATGCATCATTCAAYAATCATGTAATAATGAAGAATTTGAAGTGAAAAACTGATGGGTGATGTGTATACTGATTTTACATTTTTGTTGTTTTACAGTTCTAAAAGGAAAATCCCTTAAACTGCCAGCCTAAAGTTCACAACCCAAATCAGATTCATTTCATGGTGGAGAATATTATCAAAGTTACTTGTAACTATATGWTTTCATGAAAGCCATTAGAAATACTGTGTTATACAGGCTGACAGTTTTTTGCGCATTGCTACTTTGGCTTTCTGGTACTTTTATATATGGTCTAGTTCACTGAAATAATATGAAGAGAAATATAATATTGTAACTTAAAAGATAGTATGTTATTTTTATGTCAGTAGCAAAATGTCTGTCAGAATGATGTTTTCTAAAAAARTTTTGTTATGAAAACTTAGTCAATGCATGTTAAGTAAGGGAATTTATTAGAGATATTTACCAAACTCATGAAGGGTGTTACAATATTATTTTCAACAAAATAAACTATGGATGAAAAGTATATTTCAATACCAGTAGTCCAATTTAGCTATAGGATGTATTGAAATTATARCAACTGTTTCATTCAAAAGCTACTGTGTCATGAATAAGGTCTGAATGTTTCCACATGCCATTTATTTGGATGCTAACTGTWTGTAAACCAAGCTTTTTCTTAACTCAGTTYGCAYTGAGTTGAGGTTCATAAGTTATTGACTAAACCCCTACTTCAAGGARCTTATTATAGTTAGGGTGGCTTTTTGCCTATCAAGAGCAATTTGCATGCACATGTTTGTTGTTGTTGCTGTTGTTTTTTCATTCATATTGTGCCATCTTGTGCCATATGCATAAACATCAGGGAAAAACATGCTTCTCATCTAATGACAGTTGAGGCATACTATCTACATGTAGATCAAATRACATTAGTTATAGTATACTTTACTTTGAAAATTCCTGCTGTATAATATATAACAATAAATTATATGGTTTTAAACTCATCATAGCTTTCTTTGCTCTAGAGAGGAGCTCAAGTATTTCTAGAAGCTTTTAATCCAGGTGGTAACTAAAATTGTAAACAATGATATTGATAAGTGTATTCTGTTCAGAGAAATTATAGATCACTGTCAAAATTTCAGTTAGAGACAAATAATAAACAATCTTTATTATTAACTATGTCTGTGAATTTTAATACACTTTTAGAGTCCTTGCATGAGGGTCCTTAAGGGGGATGTCTGATTCTATTTCCCAGTCTTCACTCATTGGAATAGTCAATTTTCAAAATGAAAAAATAAATTAACATTTCTGAAATGCTAATTTGGTGACCATTTCTGGCTGCSTATGTAAGTTGTGTTGTTTYTGTACTCTTTCTAGTGAAGCTGTACTATATATGAGTCATTTTTGTGTAAATTGCTACGTCAATATTTTTAAATTATAAATCCCACTCCTATTCAATGTTCTGGTTGCCATCCCCRGTAGGTAAAGAATCCCAGTCCCAGTGCATCCAATCCCATTTTCCCAGTCAAAAATCAGACAAACCCCAGTMCTATTTTACCCTTTCAGGACCGCTCTTGCATTCACTGGGACTGAACCAGTTTAATGTTTAGACCTTGMATTCTCTGGACATATCATACCATATGACGAAATCTCAAATTGGATCACCATAACAGCTGACAACCCCAGATWTCACGTTTCAGTGGAGGATCCATTCTTGTACCCAGACACTTTTTCATCTTTYAASCGAAAAGGCGGCTAGAGGCAGCGAGAGTAGGGTCTGGGTACGAGAATGTGGAGGATCCAGTGAGTTCCGACCTTTAAGACATGCGAGGCATAAGATTYCTSTGGAGTTATCCTCTCTAATTCCCTGCTCTTTTATCATACTTATTGGTAATAAAATATATGATCTAAGATTTGACAGGTGGTCCAGTGGACCCAAATCTGATTTCCTGAACTCAATGGTAAAACCACACATGCTCAATTTTGTACAATTCTTTTCTCATACTCATTCCCAGTGCACCTCGGTCGTCCCTTCTCCCTTCGTTAGGAGAAGGGACGACCGAGGTGCAGTGGGGACGAGTATGTTCTTTTCTGGATTTTCTCAATTCACAGTATATTTGATGAATAAAAAATAGATAAATCGAAAACACGACGAGAAAAGAGCGTGCTTTCAATGCTTGATTTAATATAGACCAGTTCGTCCTTCTGAATGCATCATGGGTAATTAGGGCTAGATTGCTAAGAGGCAATGGGGAAAGAGATACGTTTTTCGCTGTATTTCCATTCTGATAGTAGATCTTCTCCTGAAGTGAAAGTTCTGAGTTCGAGCCCAGGCTGCTGGACTTTCTCTTTTTTTTTCTTGTGTATTGTTTCGTTTTCGCTTGTTTCTTCTTTCTCATTTTTTGTTTCTTAATTTTTTTTCTTTTTTCTTTTTCTTTGCTGTTATTACTTTGTTTGTTTTTCTCTAGAGACKTTTTCTCTCTTTTTTTTTAGTTCTTTTTTTACATGTAAAGAGAAAAATTGCTGAGCTTGGGCTACCTGTGGAAGCTCCCTTGCCTGTGTGCAACGCACGCGAGCGTCCGCCATTTTGCGAGTAGAGAAGACCCTGGGAACGAGGTTGGCCTGTGTGGTCTATCGAGGCTTGGTTACCGTGCAAACAACATGGCGGAGGTCAAACCAAAATCACGAGATCGATGTATGACCATGGTCTTTCATTATTTAGCCATGGTTTCAAAACAATAAAAACTTATGAAAGCCTRGATATGACTTAAAGAATTTAGGTACGATGTGGGTAGTGTGATATGGCGTTTACGTTGAGAAGTGTTGGAGGTTCAAAGTTTGGAGGAGGAGGAGTACATGGAGAAAGGCAAGAAAAGGAACGCAAAGTTTGCGGTGTTTGGGGAAATGAAGGAAAGATCTACATATGCACAAATGAAAGKAAGCGGCTCTTGGTAACAGATACCGTCCCTCGATCAAGATGGGCTGAAAGATATGACATTATACTAGACAGTAAGTTGATCWGTTAAGAATGATTTAAAGAAAATAAGTTAAGCTTTTTATTAGTTTTTTAAGTTTTTTCTTAACATCCCCTTTTCTATATTTATGAAAAGGCTGCACTCTTTGACAAATAGCGCAAATCAGTCAGTTTGCACCCTTGCGATATATTAATTAGCTACACGTACCAATGAGAATATTTACCCTTTCCCACATGAATCCCATCTCCCTTCCCTCAGGATTACTTTGCCAATAAAAACAGAAAGCCTGAAGGGAAAGAAGAAACAGGTCAAGTTGTCCCCCAAAAGATCATTCTGACAAACCACAAGCAGMCCAAACTGATGAGAGGGCTGTGTATATATACCACAAATAGCAATAATATATAAAAAACAGAATATTTGAAATAAAGTTTTCCTACCTTGCAGGGGGGTTCTCCCCCGCAACTTGGGTGGGGGTGTGACGCTGGGACCTCAAACCCTGGCCCTGTTCCAGAGTGAAATCGCGCACTAGCTTGCTTGTAGACCAAATTTTTACCCCGTGAATTTTTACCCAGTATCAATAATTCCGAAATTAAACCCTGATCTTGTTCCAGAGAAAATTCGTTGAAATTGATTCCAGAGTAAATCGCTAAAAACGATACCCAGTTCCAGAGTAAAATCACTAAAAACGATACCCTGATTGGCAGCACATCCTCGTATAGCGAATATAGGGGAGTACCCCTCCCCCCCCAACCCCCCAGGAACTCAAGGTAGGAAAACTTTATTTCAAATATTCTGGGTTTTTTTAATATATTATTGTTATTTGTGGTATATATACAGCCCTATCATTAGCTTGGGCTGCCTGTGGACAAACTGGCTAAACACTGCTGTACATAGCAATATTAGAAATTCTAGGAATTGACAAAACACTTCTCAAGAAAAAATATTGCAAAGGAAATACTAGAGAGAAAATTATTGCTCCTTACAAAATTATCAAACAACCCAGATTGTTGACATACATTTCTTTACCTTTCAATAGTAATCTTKATTTTCAATGGTTGACAAAGAAAGAGACAAATTTTTGACATTCAGAACAAGCTGTAACAGATTCTGTTTACAATGATACATAAACATATTGGTGTTCTAAGACAAAACTATTGCATTTTACTGCCATGTGAACTTCATAATATTAAATTGTATTTCAGGCACAACAGAACACATCATTGCAGTATTTCAAAACCCAAGATGTCCATWCAAGATCTATGTGGTTTACAATAACAGTATAACAGATTGCATGGAGTACATCCCTTCAACAAACCAGTGGATAAAGAAGCACTCCTTTCAGTTAAGCAATGCAAAAGGAGCAAGAATCCTTTCCATCTCATTTCATCAGCACACAAGTATGTTTTTTTGGTGTGAGAAGCGRGGCACTAGTTTGGGGCTTACTTCATGTTGTGTTTGCCTGAGAGAAGTTCCAGAGGACTGGGATGAAGACTTCATGGTTAATATTGGGCCCGTTGTTGCAATGCTTCAGTGTTGTCCAATGATGTCATTRTTTATCATCAAGAAAGGTGTGTGCATGGTTCCTCAATTGCCTAATGAAGATAAGCAGCTCTTGTTTTTCTGGACATTTATTCCTAGATCTTTAAAGGTATGTTTACAGAACATCACATCCTAAAAAGACTGTTGTAAGCGTGATTTTCTTTCTTATCCAATCTCAAACTCAGAGCCTGCATTGTTGCCTTCCTGTGGAAGTCAATGTGTTAGAGACTCTGGGAAATTTTATTATCTCTCAATTCATGATTAGTTAAAACTGACATTAGCATCTATGAGCAWTATTTTGTGAAAGGGCATGCAGTAGAAGGGACAACTCTGAAATAGTAAAAAAAAACAAAACATGTCAGGCTGAGACAATTTATTGTTTGGATCAAGTTATATTTTGTCAATTTATTGCACCTACATAAACAGTCATCTACCTRCAGTACCTATTGAGCACTTTTTCAGCTTAAGCTATTCATTTACTATCATTGTTCTTATAGGTTTATATCTGGAATGACATGACTGTTAATAGCCTTGACAAAACGGATTTCAGGTCAATAATAATGCATCTACTCCCTGTATGGAACTCGTGCTCAACTGTTAAAAGTGACTACATCATCTCTTTGACTACCCACCCAACTACCCTAGAACTTCTTTTGTTAGATAATGCATTTACCCTGTCATATGCATGCATCCAAGATGGAGAACTTTGCATTCAGCAACTTAGTAAGCTCAACCTCCAGTGTGATATCAAAACTGTGAGAAGTATATTTGCTTTTGGCTTATTTACTGGCGTAGTATTTGAGTCAGGAATTATGAATATCTTTGATTTAAGAAGTGGGATTGAATTRTGTAGAATGGAAGAACTTACTGGTCGGAGTCTCTTAGTATGGGCATATGCTGGTTCTGTGCCTGGTGTTGGGGTGTGGGAAGATGAAGGTATTTGGGAGCTAAAGTCAACATCAATCTCTGATGTGGCCAAAGTGATKCAAAGTTCAGTTCACATAAATAATCAAAACCTCCAAGATGGGAACAATAGTAGATGTTCTAATGCTATTAATGAGGAGGAAAAGMTATCAAGGAGTATCATCACATGTGATAAATGTTTTCCAGAATATGTATATCGTGAAAATATTGACTCTACTTGTATATGTCACAAGAACATATCAGGTCCAATAGCAGCTACTCAGTTCTTGAAGACATGGAACATGCACCCTTCTGCTGCTAAAGTTGCTTTGRGTACAGCTGTTATCAAAATGACTGGTAGTGACACTGAAAACTTTCAAAAAGTGGAGAAGGAACACTTGGAAATACTTCTTGGCAAGGCCTTACAAAGTCCTGTAGCATCTTTAACACTTTTCTATCAGCATCCTCATTACAAGCAACAAGYGCTATTGTGTTTGAAGTCCTTTTTGRAAAATTGGGATAAAAARASAGAAGCAGATGACAGWTTGTCCCAAACAGCATTAAACGATTTATTGTATCATCACATCAAAAAGTTTGTTGBGTTGACTGACAAGTCTGACGACCTGCTTATGACACAAAGAACTTTACATAATTTAAAAAGTGATTTAGTGTCAACCAGAGATGAAATTGAGCAATTATTCAATAGATTGAATCTGGCAAATCCAGACAGTCGTTTGCTATCGAGGCTTACCTATCTTCAAAGTCAAAATGCAAATGARGTTTGTAAATCAGTGGCTCAAACAATGGGTTTTAAATATGAAGAAAGCACWGCACCCCAAGAGGTGAAGATTAGTAGTCAAAGATKGAGGAAGATCTTCAGGTGAGTTTAATTCATCAAAACCACATTCCAGTCTCTAACCATTGCACCTAGACATGAGAGTCAGATTCTGGTTTACTATTAATGATGATATTCTCACTAGCATTTTGTCTCWATAGAATAGAATGGAAGGATGGTCACTGGCACAGAAACCGTGYGTCTTTGGASTGTAGTAGCAACCACTCCCTTGCTCTTTTATGCAATCTTCTTTACAACGAAGAACCAGATTGGCTTTTAAAAGTTTATGAGGGTGGAATTGGGCTGGTTCATGCCAATGACACYGATGAAAAGGCCAAGGTATTATAATCCTACAATTAATTATAGAATTTTTGAGTGAAAAACCGTGGAATATGTATTACATGAGGCTTTCATTTAAATGAACTCTGTAAATACGCTTATTCATTTTCATATACATGTATTTTTATAGTATATACAGCCTTTTGCAAAAATTATGAGAATTGTCGAAATATCTAAATATCATAATATCGAGTGCATGATGGGTAATCCCGCGCGATGCCCTTAGTCCCTTGTCTTTGTAGTTTAGTTTTTTTTTGGCGACAGACTTATCCGTAGTTCTGAACATTTTCTCGATGTCAACAATGAATTATTCTAACAAACCCGCGTGTTCCGGACAATATATGGATATGGATATTATGATATTTAGATATTTAGACAATTCTCATAATTTTTGCAAAAGGCTGTATTAGGTATTACTTTAGGCCTGCACTATATGCTGAACTTCACATGTGCCGAATACAACTCCTATTTTAGTCGAAGTAAATGATTAAATACTGCATTTGATTTAGACACCGAATTTTAAAACTCACTTTTTCATGTTTCTATTTTTATCCCTTTTCAACAACTGATGCGAACACTTTTACTCATTTTCTTCTCCTCGCGTTTCTCCATCCTTTCATCTCTTTATTCTTCTCCCCACCTGTACATTTCCATACACACTTTTAATTTCATGATCATTATTATCCTTCCCTTCTTAACATGTTCATTGTTCTCCATCTCTTTCCCACTCATTTATTCCACTCACCTCTTACTATCACCAGCACACACTTGCAACATCCAGTCATCAACAATCATTTCCCTTTCACCTGCCCATATACATGCAACCTTCTATTTAATCACTATCATTTCCCTCCCCTTCTTCTTTCAGTTTCCTCACACATTTCGCTTACATCCATTGATCTATATTTATTTATCTATCTATCTATCTATTTATTTGTTTCTTTGTTTTCTTTATTTCTTTGTTTATTCAGTTAATGCTGCTTGTTTATCTTTTTATTTAGTTATTTACATATTTAGTTTTTATTCAGTCACCTATCCATTTTTTAATTTATAACCCCCCTTTTACTTCTACAGTTATTTAGTTATAAAGTTCTTTGTTTTTTCATTTTCTTTCATTTCTTCTCTTCCTTTCCCCAACTCTTTAAGTCGCTGTGCTGTGCTGTGCACAGTAGATTAGTTGAATCGAGGTCATTAAGCTGTGATAGTTGTCCGCGGAAAYTGGATGTTCCGATAAACAAATAGTCCCSCGGGAACGCAAATACAACTTAGTACGCTCTGATTGCATTGCGTTTGCATAATGMTGATTTCCCCAAACTGCGTTACATAATCAACTCAAATTCAAGACGTACATGTAACAATCGAAATCCTGTCTTAGTACAAATATAATTTGCATTTAAACGGTCAGAATAGAGGCGCTTCACCTTTTCTTACCGAAGTCTTCTGTTTTTAGGATCACGTGAGCCAATCTATGCTCGACTGCTTACCTTCACTTATTGTAGACTCCAAACCCAAGTCCACATACGTGCATGCTATTCTTCTGTGGACCACTGGCCAAGAACTACAAGCAATGCAAGTCATACTACGCCATCAGATGTGGTTTCAAGCCTTGGATTTCTTTTCTTCCCTTACCGAGAACACAGACTTCTTTTCAGCTCTTTTTACCATGATGATTAAAACATTTGTGCGTTGTAAGGCACCCAAAGAGGTTTTATTCAAAGCTCTGTCTTTACTTCCTGCAGGGTTCAGTACCTATGAGCTTCTCTCATTATTACAGCAGAGTGGACCTGGGCTTGGGCAACCGTTTGTAGATGATAACCAGTTTTTGACGATTGGTGACATCCGAGAGCAGTTAAAGAGCATGTTTACATATTAATCTCGAACTTAAAGAAAGAAAGATGACAGACTATAGAGTTACTTGAACAAATCAATGTGTGTTGTGTGTTGTTGTTTGTGCTTGTTTGTTGTTGTTGTTTTTGTTCTTCTTCCTCAAAGATTGAATATCAACAMGAAAGCAGTATGGAAAGGCATCAGACAAGACGTCAAGACGTAAGGTTTTAACAAAGATGTGCGCCTGATTACAGTAAATTGTCAAATGGAATAAAATTACCGATAGACTGATATTGGTGATACATAAATCTATGGAAAGGATATATAAAGAGCCGATTGCATGATGTACTTTTCTTTCTTCAGTGTTTCTGAAAATGAAATTAATAAATACCTTTTTCGCTAAATATCAAATGGTCCATTTCCAAATAACGAAACTCTTTGAAATTGGCWTAAAATAACAACATGTCAGGTTGTTCATCGTTGWACAAAATTCACGCACACGATTAGTCAAATGGACCACGTGATTTTGCTTGATTTGACGACATAAAGCTTCAATGCATTATTGATAAATGCACGCTTTTAGCCCGCTTCGCTCCATGTAGAATTTGAAATTTCTCGTTCACTACAGTCAGCGCGTGCGTTTATTTGTAAATAAAACGCTCATAACAGTATGTAATAACCCATAATTCTCTATATATTTCTCTATATATAACAGATGTTGTAAATAATAGCTATTATTTTTGTACAAACAGTAATATTTTTTGAATGAATAAATTTWAAAATGATTTTCTGTATCAATTTTTGTATTATTTTTATTGCTTTTTTGATTTATAAAACATGSTAGGAAGTAAAAGCATGAGGTCCTTTCGCATAGGCGCGTGCTTTAAAAATGCCTATTACCTGTGGAATGCCTCGCGTTCCAGTGTTTRAGTTCATATAGCRATATCTGCAATGCATGTAAATACGACATTACGTTGTGATATGTTTTAGTTTTGAAATAAGACTTAATTTTCCGTTTTTCTTGATATCTCCTTCTGTATAGTTACACATCTATTTCTTTGGTTAGAAATAATTTCACTTATTGGATTCACTTTGCAGAGAATGGATAGGCTATCTTACAGCATAAATCAGTTGTTATCCATGGCTATACTTCCAGTCGAGAAATCGCCGTTTGAAAATTGACATTCACCATTTTATACGACAACCTTTTTTTAGGTATATCACAGAATGGATAGGCTATCTTACAGCACAAATCAGTTGTTATCCATGGCTATACTTTCAGTCGAGAAATCTCCGTTTGAAAATTGACATTCACCATTTTATACGACAACCTTTTTTTAGGTATATCACAGCAAGGTAGAACGGAATCGCTGATCCAATGGTCAGCTCACTTTTTAATTTTACATTTTCTGGCGATTCCTTGTCCTCTCTACAGCGATACATCCACCCTTCACACGAAACACCCTTTTTTATGTGCAGGGCTTCTCGTTTTGTTATGCTAAATCCTCACTCTTCACCTTACAAAAAGAAAGGAGAACCGCAGTTTTCTTGGCGGGAAAGAGATGGAGCTCTCGGTGATAAGATTAGGAAGGAGAGAGTTAGGAAAACGCAGAAAGTACATGACACGAGTGACAATCACTGGACTTAATCGACTTGCAGTGCATACCATGGGTAGCCAATAAATGGCAAAGCCGCTACGAGAGTTTGAGTGAACAAGAAATAAACTACTGCTTTAAAAGATCCGATTTTATTTTCATAAGATTTAGTATTTGCGTTGAATGTAGAAGATGCTGTCAGTGTTCATAGGTTACCAACCATTTCCATTTAAAAATCCAGGACATGCGTATAAGGTCCACGGCACTTTACTGTAAGTAACTCGTGTTGATTGCACATTGCGTACGTTCCTGAGGAAAGTAAGAAAGCAGTTTTAGTTGTTTTTTTTTTAGTTTTAAAATCGTCATCCCAACACTGCCCATGAAAAATATCTACAAATGAAGAGTATGGTTGTGGTTTTTAAAAAAGTCAGACGTAACTACAGCTGTCCGCTTACTGGRGAGTTCCGCAAGATTCGACTTTGTATTCAAACTGTCGGATTGCAAGAAATTGCACAACATTAAAACGTTACGTACCCCACTTTACGTGTGGACCGGTCGGATGTTCTGATGTGATCTTTGAATGACAAAGAACCATCTTCTGTGGAAAATTCCATACTATCAATGCATCTGAACGCCGTTACATAAATAGCCCTAAAATGCAGGTTCACTAAAGCGAACTGAGCTAAAACTTTCTTTCTCCACTTAAAATGACATGAGACCCTTCTATGTRTACATCAGAGACGTGTACATGCCGTATATGGAAGTTTACGACAAATTCTGTTTCCCATCGTGTATGATCACTAACTATAAGTACCTGGCATAGTTTGGTGAACTCTTCGTAAAGTATGCGAGCTTCACCCTTGTCTTTCATTCTACGATATCTGAAATAAAGAATTAAAGCAATTTAAAAATCGAAGAGCTCCTACAATGAAAGCATATCGGAGATACATGAAGTTTGACGTCATTTTAATTATATTTGCGTAT